TGGAAGTTCTTTCCAATTGAGTGCAAGATCCTGGCTGCTGCTCCTAAATAGTGGCAGTTGCAGGCATGGTGAAATTGAGGTGTGGTCATCTTTGCTTCCTGAAGGACTAAGCTGACTGCCTTGGCTCTGTCCTGGGCTTAGGTCCCCTGCCAAGATTTGGTCCCTCCTTATCCGAGTCTGCCCTCATTGTCTCCTTGGTCTGCTGGAGATGATGGATTGCCTGCCGGATTGCCACCCGAGGCTGACAACTTGTCATATTAGACCTTTCAGCCTCTGACAGAGGAGATCCTAACAAGTGGCTTAATATTTCTGTTTGCATAGGACATTAACTGTGCCCGTCACAACCCAGTTGCACAAACAGGACTTATAAGTAGTAAATCCAGTGATAGATATATTTAAAAGGAAGATAAAAACGAATACAAACTAATATAAAGTAAGAAAAAGAAAAAAAGAAAGAAATGAAAGAGAAACTAAAAGTGCAAGAAAGGGAAAAAAAGGTAAAAGAAAAATAGGGGGAAAAAAGGTAGAAAGCAGCAGCTTCCAATCTTCTTTACAGCAGTTATAAGTTTCTTACTCCATGTTATAGCATGACTCTCATCTTTTTATAATCTATCCTCAAATCCAGTGTCTCACATAGAAGAGAATCATCCTATTGGGTCAGTTATGGACAAATCTAATCAACTGTGGCTTAGTCAGTAAGTCATGATGCAAATTCAGAGTCATTAGCCCTGCACGTAGGAGTAAGGAAATCTCAGTAAGAAGCTTCTGGATAAAACGGAAGGTGGCTTGCTACCTGAGATCCTTCCATACTGACATAGGAAAGATTGTATCAAGGTTTATGACAAGGTTGTTTTTATGACCATTAAAAATAATCTTTTCCAAAGCTAAGGTGAGCTTAATTATGTAGCCAGCCCCAATAATTAAAGTAAAATATGAAATAACTGTACTGCCCCATGTGAGGTCTTACTTCCTAGTCCCTTGAATGGTGGCCATTATTTCACTTGAAATACAAAGAAGCAGGTCTTCTTATATTTTTTTAACCCAAGTCAGTGGTTGGTGTTCATGGCAGATAGACCAAGAGAAACAGCTACTATTAACTGTAATCTTTCACCAGCTTTTCCTAGCTTAAGCAGCGTTAAATCTATCAACAGAAATACTTGGTTTCTTTAGAGGTTCAGTGTAAAAACAAAGAACATTAGATTTTTCTTAGAAATCCCCTTGGAATTTTTACTGTATGTATGTGGTGGAATAGTTACTCCGTACGCAACCTTCACCTGCTGGAGAAATTGGACAAAGAGAATGCTCAATTCTGCTTGCAGCTCCCTGCTACAAATCCAGAGTAATATGTCTGTAACCAATGAAATGATTCCAGATTTAAAGCAGCATGACTGAGAGCCAAATTCAGCCCTGGATAGTGAAGTGTATCTTAAGTGTTGCAGGTAATGTGGATACAGCTGTGCCTGCAGCTATTCTAATCATTTTAGGGTAGACTACAGTGTCAAAAAAGAGAGGGAAGGGAAGGGATGGAGGAAAGAAAAGAATCCAGAGGTGTGCCGGTAAGGCCATTAGCAGAGCAAAGAATTAGAAATGCAGTCTACTAAATATACTGAGGGCTGCCTGGATTCTGGGTTCATTTGAAATATTTAGCTGTTTGCTGAAATATTGAACCCTTGGATTGACAGATCTACGGGTTGAGCTAGTGCTATGTATCCAAGGCTGCAAACCACCACTCTAACCCTTTGCTACCATCCAGTGGTCATCTAGAGGGTTGCGTCTTAGATCTAGAAGCCCTAGTTAAACAGAACTTGCTTTTTAAGTTTCAGAGTTGCTCACTTTGCTCATCACTGTAAGCCATGGGATGTTTTATTCATGGTTACTGAGCAAGCCAGGTGGACTACTTTATACATAGGTGAATTCACACAACTCTGATTTGTTTGTTGCTTAAGCATGTCGTGTAAACCTATCCGTGTTTGAATTAAAAATGAACTGGTGCTATAATTTATTTATTTATCTATTTATTTATAAAATTTATATGACTGCCTATCTTGAATTTGGCACTCTAGGCTGCTCACAGTATACAAATGCAACACTTCATAAAAAATAATAATATAACCATATCACAATCATAATCCTATGCATGCCAGTTCAGCTAATAGTCTCATCACAATGTCTTAGGAGGAAAAACCAAGACTTCAAGGCTTTCCGGAAGACTATCAGGGTTGGGTTGTCTGGATCTTGGGGGGTGGGGTATTGTTCCATAGCACAGGTGCTGAGTCAGAGAAGATATACTTTCTAGGTCCTACTAGACCACACTGTTTCAGAAAGGGGACATAGAGCATGCCCACCCTCCAATACCTGGTGGGATGTATAGACACTATTGGGGAGATGTGGTCCCATAAATAATCTGGCTGTATGCCACATAGGGCTTTCTAGGTGACCACCAACACCTTAAATTGCACCTGGAAGCCTGCTAGAAACTGCTGTAGCTCACAAAGCAGTAGTGTTACATAGGTACAGTGTGGTGTGCCCAAAACTGACTGCACCATTATGGACCAGCTGCAGCTTCCAAATGCTTTTCAAGAGCATCCCCATGTAAAGTGCATTGCATTAGTTCAAGTAGGTGAGTAAGCCATGAGTGACTTGAACAGAGCCTCCTATTTCAGTAATGGGTGCAATTGGTGCACAAGATGGAGTTGTGCAAAGGCTAACTTGATCATGGCTGCCATCTGCTCACAGCTGGCCATTTAGTTGCTTTGAGTCCAGACTGTGCACTTACTATGTCTGGGGGAGTGCTAACTCATCCCGAGACATATATGGCAAGTCTCCGGAACAGGAGCCCTAAAACCCATAGATATTCAGTCGCTAGGAATAAGTTGAAGCCTGTTCTTCCCCATCCAAACCCTTACAGCCTCCAGGCAGTGGGAAAGAACCTTGATGGCATCACTTGGATAGTCTGGAGCAGAGATATAGTGTTATCAGCATACCAATGGTACTTAACCCCATGCTGATGAATGACTTGACCTAGGGGCTTCATACATGTGTTAAGTAGAAGTGGGAAGAGCAGGGAGCCCTGAGGGATCCTGCAATGCAGGAATCTAGGGATAGAACACTTCCACTTTACCAACACCAACTGAAACCACTCTTGGAAGGAGAAGAACCAGTTAAACAGTGCCCCTTATTCCCAACCCCCTAAGTCAGTCCAGAAGTTTACTGTAATCAGTGGTATCAAAAGCCACTGAGAGATCAAGAAGTACCAAGATGGATGTGCTATCCACATCCTGATCCCACCAGAGCTCATCCAAAAGTGCAATCAAAACCATTTTGGTACTATAAATCAACCTGGAACCCAAACCAATCTGAAATGTCTACATAAGCTGTTTCCCTAAACAACCTTTAGGGAAGGTTGTTGGAGCTGTCAACAACCTTCCCTAAAAATGGGTGGTGGAGACTGGATGAAAGTTGTCCAATTCTGTTGGATGTAGCAATGGCTTCTTCATGAGAGGGCATGCCACTGCTTCTTTCAAAGCAGCCAGAACTGTTCCCTCCCTCGAAGAAGCATTCACTACCATATGGGTCCAACCTTATGTTAGATCCCAGAGGCCATAACCAATCAGGTGGGATATGGCTCTAAAGTATAAGAGGCAGAGCTAAAAGCCCCAAGGACCCTTTCTACTTCCTCAGCCCTAATTAGTTCAAACTCTTCCCAGAGAACAGAGCAAAGCTATGTCTGAGTCAGTTTCATGGAACCTTTGCAGCCAGAGTCTAATTCTGAAACAATCTAAAAGTTTTTATCCGCCAGATGCCTAGAATAATCCTCATAGCAGTCCTGCAAAGATTTGCCTGGCCCCACCTTACCCAGAAAGAACTGAGCTGCTTTAAACAAGGTCACTTGCTTGCCCCCCCACCCCTTCCACCCAAACTAACCAAGTTCCTTATCAAGAGTCTGACCCAATTTCTCCTCTGTCCTGCAGAAATAAAAATGTAAAACCCTCAGTAGTACCAGCTGTAATAAACAACACAGATTCTAGTCCCTCCAAGTCTAATAGCTGCTGAATAGTAGAAAGGTGGCCCAAATAGCTGCTATGCAACATGATGGGTCGTACAGCAGCCACAGAAAACAGGACGGTTCTCTTGCAGGACCACCATCCTGGTCCCCCTTCTGCAGTCCCACTGGGGAACAGAAACCTCCTGGCACACTGAGGGCAACCCCAGCTTACTATCACCACTGCTGCACAGCCAAAAATGCCTGTCCAAAGCAAATGACACACCGTCACTACTGTCCTCATTGGGGCAGCAAGTCTCAGCTTCATGGCTGCACCACTACCGTCTCAACTTATTGATTTTGCCTTAGTGTGTTTGGTGAGCCAAGTCACTTTGGTTTGTAAATCAGGTTTTATCGTGTAGTTTGATGTCAAAATCCAATGTAGTATAGATTGATCAGTCAACTATGAATAAGCAAATCATGACTTTATGCACAGTATGAATCAAATCAACGCTTAGCTATAAATCATGGTTTGTAAACCACAACAGCTGGGTTTCCCCATCACACTAAGCCCAAATCAATTCATATTAGAATGGAAAACGAAGCTGGCCTGCGCATCATATGTGAACCCAATTGTTCTTTGTCCCCCCCCCCCATTGGATATTTGCATCAGCAGATTGGCAGCAAGACAACATTAAATGCCAGTACCTTTAGAATTGCAGGATTGTGGAATGTGGAACTGAGTTGAAACCAATTAAAAGTACATTGTGGACAACTTAAAAGAAGGGAGTTGTGTTTGTCTGCAAATTGCTGTTTCCCATTCAAAAACCACTTTAAAAAAGTGTTTTATTTTCCTAGAGGGAGATTTTAGAGCATAAAAAATACAGAAAACTCTCTTTGCTGTCAACTAGTCTCATTCTTGTGAAGCCACAACCATTTAAAAAGAAAAAGAGACGAACCCTAATCACATAAATCATTTTATTCAATTCATATTCTACAGAATATTAATCATGGAGAACCCAAACTTTTTTCCCACTTATTTTTGGAACAAATTGTTTTCCAAATTCCTAGTTTTAATTCCTTGCATTTCAGTGGGAGTTAGATGCAAATAATTTAACTCCAACTGAGTTCAGTGAGTCTGTTTTAGATATAACAAAATCAGAATCCTATCCATTCTTATTTTTCATTCACCTCTTGCACGTATGCTGAAACTGCATTTCTTTCAGTGATAAACACAAACCAGCCTGTTGAGGTGGCAACATCCATATCTATCCTGTCAGGAATATCAAACCTCAGGCATGATCAGACACCCCATTTATTATTTTATTCACAAGACTTTTCCCTGATTTTTCTTTGAATCGTTCTCCAAGCCTGACTTATGACTCTCAGTCAATATTAGCCAAGCATTTGACAGACAGCAGTGCTGTCCATTTTGCTAAAATTATGGTTTAGACCGTCTAAACTTTTGGAAGCAGCTTAGACTTCAGCTGGTGTGCACATGGTAGACCAAATCCAGAAGTGATCAAATGCAGAAGTGATCCAACTAGCCCTCTATTGTCAGGACTGACTGGCAAGAAGTCTTCTGTGTTTTGAGATATATAAGTTATGCAAGAGTCAAGGATTGCATGTTTGTGATGCAATCACTGTGATGTATGCTTTGTGTTTCATCACAAATGAAATATACGTTAGTGTTATCCAGCAATTTTAAGACAGAAGTTCACAACCTGACTTATAATACAAACATTGAACAGACTGCAATAATGCAAGTTTATATGGTTGTCTGTGGTAGGAGGCAAGTGTGTGCATTGTTTTCATTGCACAAATGTCCTGAATTATGCTATTTGCATCAAGTCCCATCACATGATACAAGTAATTATTATGATGCAGGCATGATGACATGACAAACGTCACATAATTGTGGCTTTTCTTAGACACTTACACTTGTTGGTCCAAGGACTTCAGATATCTTGCTTTCGGTGGCATTAATTTAGACCTGCCTCCCCCAACCTGATCTGAGAATGAGGGGAGTTCTAGTGTGTGTGTGTGTATACGTATGCATGTATGTATATTTGTATGTATGTATGTGTGTGTGTGTGTGTATGGAAGATATCTCAGGACAGGTTAACTTATTCTTTGAAATGATGTTCTGAATCCTGCAAAGAGAAATGAAGAACAAACATGAATTTTGTTGGAATTATTTTATGTTTTCTTGGGATGACTGTATAAGAAATCTGGTACAAATCATACTTATGTTATTAATAAGGGCTAGCACTCCCAAAATGATTGCCCCGTTTTTCTGCAAAGACAAATTCCCCATTAATGTAATTCTGTTATTCCAGTCCCATGGTGTTTTAAATTTAAATTACAGTACTGCTTCCTTGTACAATGCTTTGGGGTCAAAACATTCTGATAAAAATTCAGAAAATAGGAATGACATTTACACAGAACTACAACAGGCCACACCATCAGTGCATTCTGTAGTCCTAAATGCCTTTGATTGCTGAACTCTCATTAAAAACAATGTTTTTCTTTTTTTTAAAAAAACACCTTGTGCATAGAATTGCAGCAATTATTTATTTGGGTATGCAGGAGGTTTTAGTTACCATGGAGAAGTAACAACCATTCTACCATGTTTAGTAATAATCTTCTGTTTGAAGTGAGGTAAACTCATGAGTGAAATGAATAGCAATATGTGGGTTTTTTTGCCTGTTTAAGGTTTTAAAAAAAGATCACTACCTTCTGGGGTTTAAGGATTAAAGTTTTACAATAGAAGGCTGTGCACTATGGAACCATGATTGTATTGGGCAAAACACAAGAGACATCCAGCTCCAATCTACTGCCAGGAGATTTGCTGCTGGAAATGTTTTGTCTGAAGCCAGGCATGACTGTGATTGACACTTCACATTTGGCACAGTATGATGGTGAAAATTTCTGAATTGCCGGAACTTTCTGTAAAAAACCAAATCCTTTCTGATAGGAAGACTCAATAACAGTTAACCTCCCATTAAACGCTCTGGACCTTGCTGGTAGGTTACAAATCTAATCGTGAGTTTCAGAACCCCACTTATGCCACATGCTGCTTTGGCTTCCTGGACACATTTTTTGTCTTCAACAAAATTTGCTTCAATGTTTCTCCTGTGAGGTGTGCCAGTTTTCTCTTCACGTAGCCTGAAGATGCAACTAGACATGGAAATGAACATGAACCAACCAAAGGACCTTGTCATTCTTCTATTGGGAAATCACTTATGACCAATGCATAAAAAGTGCTGTCTTCTATTTTTCCAGGCTATTACTAAATGCACAACTATAATGATAATCAAACTGAATTTACATAGAAAAATTAGGCTGGCTTCTTCATTCTTTGCTTCACAGAACCATTTAGGGCCAAAGCATGTAATCAGAGGATATTTGGATGAGCTAAAAATACTTATGTATCTGCAGGATGTCAGAAAAATACTAACATTGCTAGTAGAATAATAGAGCATTAGGATCACAAAGGCAGATGGCTGGGACAGTGCAGTCTTGACACACTCAGCATACTTCAGAAGTCCATCAGCACAGCTGCAAAACAGATAAAACAGAAAGGAGTTCTCCTCAGTGGATCTTATCTCCCCACTCATGACAGGGCCATTGTTACTGTGTTGCTATCTAGTGCTCAAATTCCTAGAGGGCTAAAGAGGACCCAATTCGTCTCACCTTTCACATCATATTCCTTTGTTTCTGTTTAGAGGCAACTGCAGGGCATTTTAATTTAGCTAAATTGTAGAAAGACTAGTGGGATCTGGATTTCATTAAAGGCTATTCTATGTTTCAGAACACTAGCACTTTGTATAGTGAAGGTTGTTGCTACTAAACATCTGTATATTTTCTGCAGACAGCCCCAGATAGACCAGCCTTCCTTCTTTATCACATGAGAATAGAGGATAAGAGCAGAGACCTAAAACAAATGTTTCCCTTGTTCAAAATTTCCTCAATAACTGTGTTAACAAACTGTTGGAGCTGAAGGTGTCAGGTTGCATCATAGGAAGACATCTGCAAATCTATGACTTGGATAAAGGGAGAGGAGAATTCCCATCCTCTCTGTCTCTCTGTGTTAAATCTGTCCCAATAATCTCTGGGCTATTAGTACAAGTCTCTTACCACTTCTAATAGGTGCTTTACCATGCTCCCTTCTGTCCCCTAGTCTGTGCTGCATTGCTATCCATACAGCTTTAACTCGCACAACATTTTAAGGGCTGTGAAATTTTAGACAACTAATTAGGTGAAATTACCATAAAGTGATAATAGTAATTTATACTTGCATAGCATATAAGGCTATGAGATTCTCTGATCATAGTGTAGTCTTTAACAGACTGGTGCCTTCTTGAGTCACACTGGCTGGGAATTCTGGAATTATAACCCTAATACATTTGCAGCACTGGATTACCATAATGTATGCATAATAAAATACATACAGTGGCATCTTGCAATTTGATTATGGTAGCCAGAGAAAATAGTTTGACCAACAGTACATATAACTTCAGAATAAATTATTTTATAAACATAAATCTAGAATTTATCTTGTTTTCTAATATATTCCATATGGGATTACATTTTCAACAATGAATCTATTTCAAGAGAGAAGTAATTCAAAAATAAGCTTCAAAGTCAGCCATCTAAAGAAAACCTTGCCTGGGATATCTCTGCATATTGCATTCATTAATAAGTGAGATTTTATGTAGCAGAATCAATTTGTCTGGCACTTTAGAAACCTGATTTAACCAGACTAAATAGACTAAATAGATATGTCTAAAAGCGTGCCCCCTGAAAATGGAAGTGAAATAACCATTTACATCATTCTTACATTTCCATGACAAGACAGATAACATGCACTAAAAAAGTTATCTCTTTCATCTGCAGGCTGAACAATTTTATGACTTAATACCCTTCTTTTAATTGTCCCTTATTAGTAACCTAGCTGGAATTAACCAATTTCCACTCTTTGACCTGCAAACTCAGGCCTAGTTCAGAACTAAATTTATGGCTAGAAAGCTAAGTAGACATATTTTCTTCCTGTTTCATTTCTAAAGCCATGCCAGAATTTAACTCTCTGAAAAACCAGAATTGGGGACAGTTATCATAATGACTTCACATGGACAGAGAGAGGGGAAAACACCAATAATGTAAATATAGTAACTGAAAGATTATAATATAGTACTTTTTTACTACAGTACTTTGCTGGTGGCAGTTCAAAGCTTTCATTTAAAAAAAACAAAAACACAAACAGCTTCTCTTATGAAAAATCTCCAGAGAGAATTGTTTTATGTAACTCTGTATATAAGCACATATTTACCTCTTTCCTGTAATTAATACAAATTTTCATTGATACTGACATAGCCATTATATAGCTTGCAAAAATCTTAAACTCACTGAGTCCAGAAATTATATATATATTTATAACAATAATCAACAGCCTTTCCTGCACAACAGGTCCAATTAAACCTAATTACAATCCATTTTAAGCTGAAACAAATGACACAATTGTAGTAATCAGTTGAAGTTGTTTTCTTCACTTGTCACTCAGATTTTAGGTGCTTGGTTGTAAATTGGAGAAAGAACAGCAAAAATAACATAAGTTTCCAATTTCTTCAAGTATCTTAGTGGAGAAAAAAAAAAGAAAAAGGTCATTAAGGGATTTTAAAAAACCATTGTGATCTTTACCTATATTTATTTGAGAAAGAAATTATTTTTCTAGATTTCTTCTTTGTCAAAGCCATATGTCATACAAATTAATGAAAAAAAAGCTACATGAACAGTCATGAAGCTTTTCTAAACAAACAAACAAACAAACAAGGATTATAAAATGTTGTTTGACTTTGGCCTTTCAGATTTCTTCAGAGACCGAGCTACATTATTCCCACACCTACAAATCCATATTTATTCTGAAGGATTCCAATGCAGAATGTATTTCCTGTATAGTATTTTGTTTTAGTTTAGCCAACTAAACAACCAAGCAAATGAAACAACAACACAACTATATATCTGAAAATGAGTCAGTTCTTTGGAAAGCTGCTTTAATCTGGAGGAGAAGCATGTTTTTAATTGGAGCCCATAATTGCTTTTTCTTCAAAGTAAAAGTAGAGAGTTCAAGCACACTTTTTAAAGCATGGAAAAGTAACACGTAGTTTGGCCTCAGGTGTATGTGCATAACTTGTATAGGTTCACAATTATGAGTGGAACATTTGTCACTTAATCCAAGTTTCACTGGTGACAAAACTGCAAAAGCATTTTATGTACACCACAGTACGGCTTCTATGGTGGGGCAGATAGTAGTTTAAATATCTAAATTAAATATCTAATTTAAATTCATTTTGTTAATGTATACATACCTCTGTTCTCCTTTACTGGTTCTGCAAACATGGTGACATGGACAAGCAGTTTCTTAAACTTTAGTAAAGCATACAAAAAATATTTACAAAATAATTTTAAGGTTCAGTGAATGCTAAAAATTGTGGCAGGTTATTAGTTAAGAAACTGTCATATTCTTTTTTTCCTGAGCCTTTACCATATTTTAAATATTTTCACAAGCACACATTGCTTCATGTTCCTTAGATCAAATGCAGTTTATGATTTAAAAATAGCTATTTTCTTTTCTATCCTACATTAACAATATTCACATAATGGGCTCAAAGGTAATTTAAATGCTGTGTGGGAAACAGCCACTGAAGGCATCTGGTTGAAAAGAATGACATTCATAGTCCTGAATCCCATTATTTACCACATTCTCTCAGGCAATTCTCTCAAATACAAATTTATCTGGGACAGCTAGCCCTAACACTATCTCTTGATTCTCTTCTGTGATATAATAGTTTAAATAGGTGACAAACCAAAAAAACCACAGGTAGAAATGCTCTCTGAAAACGTTGGTCTTTCTCTCTTTTACCTGAAGAATGAATTTGGGAATGGTTAAAGAAATCATAGAACTGGATTTGTTTACAGGCTATGCTCCTTCCTGTCACCTCTTGAGTTTGCAAATAGTTGGCAGCAACATCAAAAGATAGGAATTTGGCATGAAGGGTTCAGTACAGGATGTCCTTTAACTGTCTTTTAACTCAGATTACTGGACCCTTTTACAAGAGTTGAAATACAATGTGCAATATTTCAAGCAATTGGAGCAGTCTACAAGCCACATAAATAATAAACATATTTAAATAAATTGAAATAAATAACTTTTAAGAGTTACTTCTGAGTAGGTCTTTTTAAGTAACCTATTCAATATTGTTAACTCAGTGTTCCAGACATAGAATTCTACAGAATTATAGAGTTCATAAAAGGTAAAATATTGGCTCAGTACAGTTGATTGGTATGCAATCGCTCTAAAATGAGTATGTACTCATTTTAAAACGAGTAATTTTAATTTCTTCAAATTATTTTTTACATAGATTTAATTCTTTAAATTCTTTCTGCTGTTGAATGTCTCATATAGGTTTCACCAGATCATAATATAATTTGTTCTGCTTGTGTGAAGTTAGCTGATATAACCATTGCTTACAGAGGAAAGAGTATATGTGGTCCTTCTTATCTGAGGAAAGTCCAATTCCCACTTCAGGGCTATGGATAGCAAAACCACAGGTAGTGAGACCTTTAAAAAATATTCTTTATGCATGTACAAAAGCCTGTCTGCCATTTTGTGCATACATAAGTAGAAAAAGCAAGGCAAAAACCACGCATGTTGAAAAACCCTTAATGTGTATACTGAAGTCTGGTCCCCTTTTAGCAATTATGGATCCATGGAACTGCAGATAATGGAACAGCAGAAACGGACTACCTGCACTTTTTGTAATCGTTGGATACATCAACATTACTTACATTAAAGTCATAAAAACAGTGAGTCCATGCAACTCTTCAGACATCCAGAACTAATATATGAGGACCACAACAACCAGGACATGGTAGAGATAACCATTTAAAGAAGTGGTCTTGTTTCTCTCTTGGAATGTCATTTAGAACTTTAGAAGATCAAGCTATTAGGATTTTCAAGATGTTAACCTGATGGAATGACAGAAATACAGAGAAAAATTACACTGATAAAACGACTCAATTCACTATAGAGGTTTACCTGGATTAGGATGAAAATTGTTTGTATGAAATAACTGGCTGAATTTACATGGTATACAAAACTTACAGCTGAAATGTTTTTCATGACTGTCAGTCTCATTATATTTCCCAGAGTCTAATAATGGGACAGCAGGAACTGTGATGAGGTATTGCAAAGGTGAAGTAGATAGCAATGGTGCAACATATTGCTTTCATAATTGTTTCTCTTACAACTCTGCCTCCTGGTGCTTGCCTGAACATATTGCCTTGATGTTATTTTAAATGCTGACATAATCCTTTTTGATCTTCACATAAAATAATGAAAGTGCAGAGATGAACTGTGAAAACTTGGCTTGTAAATGTGTTGTTTGTGTTTATAATAATAAATAAGCATAAAGAATAGCTTTTGAGAAGCAAGTATAAATACTGAGAGCTAATCCAGATGGATTATTTAAAAGTGGATTATTCTTTCTTAATGATATTCCAAAGTGCATAATTTGACAATAAATGACAATGATTCCAGACCTGTTTTAAATCAGGAAGTAGAAAAAATGGACAATTGCTTCTTAAATTATTCAATTTTTCATATATGTATACATATTTCTATACTCCTAAATACCACATTTTGCTTTTTAGAACTAACATAGTGGATTTAAAACTGCAAATAAAATATCTTGTTCCTTTGAAATCACATATTACAGAAAGGATATAAACGTACAATATATATTTAAATATAATCAAATACATGGTTTTGTTTTAATAAGCAATAAAATACTACCACACATATGTCTGGTACAATTTCTAAAATAATCTTATTTAATATGAAATTCTGTTGTTTGTATAATACATCCATGTATTTTGACTTGGAAGGAAATTTCAGAGTTCAATGAAATATACTACCAAGTAAGTATTTACAGGATTGCACTCTTGGGTGAGGCAATATTTTGAAATGATAAGTTGCAGAATACAATGTCAGTTTGAACATCAGCATTGGAACACATATTTTCCAAATCATAACACACTCTGCCTTGGAAGAAAAAAAAAGTTTTTCTTCTAGCTTGGCATGTATAAAATTATGCTTGATGGTCAATTCTGAGCAGATATACACTTATACAATAAATGGTGAAAAGGTTTAGGTCATGATTTATTTTATATAATTGCATAGCACATCCTGGACTTATTAAGAAAAATGGTTGCTTTCAAAACATAATGTAGAGGGAAAACATAAACTAACAGATAATTTTTAGTACACGTAAGCAAAATGTTCCAACACTGCATCAGCCCTCTATTTGAATGCTAGTGAGTAAAGCTACTATATGGGAAGTGGGGTGGGTGTAACTGACTGAATCGCATCACCATTTATTATGTGATAATGATCATACCCCACTATTTAGGATAGTTGATTTGGGCTATCTATTGAATTAACCTGCAATTCAGCATATTTATGACTTGTAGGATATATCTTAGCAGCTTGCACTGAGGAAATAACTGAATGAATTATGTATAATTTCTCCTACCTGGCATTTATGTGCGTCTCACTCTTCTCTCTCTCAATAAATGCCCAGGTGTATGAACAAGATCATGAGTATGTTTACGTTTTAGGTTACTTTCCTTTATTTGGCATGAAAATGGTTTCTATTTCACATAGGTTATATTTTGCTATGTTCCTTGCTTATTTAAAAGTTCTGCCACAAATATAACAAGTGTCCAGAATACTTCTGACATTTCCTGGAGGTATTCTGTCAGCTACTTAGGTGTATTCTCAATTTCATCTTCCACCAAGAGTTATTCTTGTATTTTGAGATCTGCCAACATAAACTTCTACAGGCTTTCTTAGATAACTGCTATTTTTGGGGTGATCTATCTAATATCAGTAATTCTTATGGCTGAGTGATTCACAGCACTTGTATCCTCCTAAACATTTTTGCAGTAGGATATATTGAACAGGAAAAATGCATGTCTTCAAAGCAACAGAACTTTACTTTTAGCAATACTTCCCTTCATGAGTTCGTATGAATCTGAAATGTGCTGCAATGGCTTCAAATCACACTGACGTGTAGTAAATAGAGAAGGCTAAAGAGATACATTTTAAAAGATCCCTGAATATGTATAACTGATACTGCAAATAAAAAACTATAAATCAAAGTGCATTCCCTTTTACAAGTGCACTGACTTTAATGTTTTGTGTGGCATCAAAAGTGAATGATACAAGCCAATCTTTATTTGAGAGATTGCTTTCTACAAAAACAGTTATTCCTTTCTTTTTTTTGGTCTAACAATAGTAAACCTAGATATATAGTATAGACAAGTTTTTTCCAGGTTAAGAAACATAGGTGACATAATAGCATGAAGATTTCTAACAGCATTATTTATGCATCCCAATGTTTCTAAATGCTAATCAGATACCACCTTAGTTAAAATTAGCCTGCGCTTGCATACATATTTGCATTTTAGAATAGCAACTTGTGAGTTGAGACTTGTAAAGCCATGGAGACTGCTAAGAAGCTAATTCCTGATATCCTTTTGGTGGTATGCTTAAAAGTTTGTAAAGCTTTTTGAATTTTCTGTCCTTCTGCGTAAATATGATTGGATTCCAAAATTCTTTGGAAATAGTTTTCTAACCTTTTTCAGCCTGGTGAGTATCAATCACTGTTTTTCGGAAGTCCTCACAAATCTCTTTGTTTGAGCCATGCACACTTCCACATACCTATGTTGTGAAGATCTGACTTTGATAGTGAATACTCAGAATTCTGTTCTTTAAATAAGGCAGGACCTCCCACACTGAAACCTGATTATCATCCCATTGATTGAAACACCTAACTCTAATTTCCCCTTCAAATGAACTGATAATCTAGAGGTTCACATACTTTTGCCACACACAAATACGTAGCTTTGGATGATTTTCCTCAATATATCAGTGAACAAGTATAATGTTTTTGACTCATTTGTTTAATTGGGTTCTCTTTATCTAGTGTAGGACTTGTGTGGAGAACAGATCATGTTTTAAATCATATTTATGCAGAAATATTGAAAATTCAAAAGGGTTCATAGAGTTTTAAGCACCACTGTAAGAGAAGATGATCAGGAGCCCAAACAAAGTATACATTTAAGAATTTGCTTGTGAGATAATTTTCTATGATGAGTCTACAAATTCTGACCCTGGAGTTTTTCTTTCAAAAAATGACTAGCTTAGAAGAAAGCACAAATTAAAAACCCATTAGTTTTATCTAGGCTCAGATAAATGCAGGGCCAATTTGGATCTATTCCACAAGGAGCAAAAGTACTCCCTTACAAGAAATGCATATGATTAGCCACAGTGTTTTTATTGAGTGTTTTAATAATACAAGTGTACATCAACTAATCTGTAATCAAAAGTGGCAGGTCCCTAAGAAATTTACAAGCACTTTTTTATATAAGTAAAACAAAATACATATCACCTGGTTCAACCCAGTAGCCTTGTGTTAAAACATAGTCTTAATAATGCACAGTGATTCTTGATTTTATGCTTTTTATAGAAAACCTGTTCCCAGTAACATGCACCCACCATTAGAGACTTCCATTAAAAAAAAAAAACCCAAACCCTCTAAACACTACATTTAAGTAGAAACAATATATAGTTCTGAGTTTGCTTGCTTTTCCCAAAACACACAAAGAAAAATTACATTAATACAAAGCTTTGTGACAAAGCTCTATACTATTACAAATTCAACATTCCTTGCACTGTAACCCAAATTCCCAATCTGTATTTAAAGATACACTTTTCAAGTTCAGCCGAAAAATAAAATAAAATAATAAAAATAAAAAGGGGAAGGGGAAGTATAATCAACTTTATCACAAAATACTTAAAATTTAATAAAAATTAAAAGGGAGGGTTACTGATGCACTTAGTGAATGTGCTTGCACAGGTCCAGCATGTTCTATAGCAGTTTCCTATGTGGCATATCTCTTGGTCCACTGTCTGGCCATTCTGTCATGCTCTGCTCTGTTTGTCATATATTGAGTAGCAATACTTCCGACCAGGGGATCAGCTGCAAAAAAAGTAACACAGTCAACCACTTGCCATGCTTTAAGTGAATTGCTTATTCTGACCATAAATTCAAATTCAGTTTAAGAATTAAAGGAGAATATTGATCTGCATCCTGATCCTAATCGTATCCACTTGAAAACTCATCTGCAGCAAGGTCAAGTTTCAGGATTTGTTGCATTATGCTGCTGCATTTTACTCTTTATCATTGATTGCTCATTGAAACTCCTCCTCCCCTTGATTCAACTGCAAGTAACACAAGGAAGACTAATGGTATTACACAAATGAGTCCCTACAACAAAGTACTGAAGTATATGGTGCTGTGCTTCTATCTGATTTTAATTATTCTATTCAACTCTTTTTGTGATTTATCCATTTTCTCATTTGTCCAAATGGAAAAATCCCAGAGTGAGTTGAGTAATTCCATTTGTATTAAGCATGTTCTGTCCTCACTGGGCTATTTTAGATTTGTTCACTCAAGCTTTTCAAGGATGGACCATTTAGACCAACTTTGCTTTAATAAAGTACCAACATTCTCTTTTGATGTCTATGGTAGGCTTTTTTAAAAAAAGATCCTCAATGTGACCCATGGAACATTCTATTCCAGGTTTCCCAGATGTGCGGAAATGGTTAGGGAATTCTGGAAATTTCAGTGTCAGTATATCTGGAAATTATCTAGGCTGAGAACTATCCAGACAATGAGGTGATTTTTTTTTTTTTTTTTTAGCTATATGGATAAATATCCTACTTGTTTTCCTCCCTCATTATTCTATTATTCTACCCAGTAATCACTTTTATTTCTTTTAGTCAGCAAATTTCCACGACTTTCAGTTCTTGTCGACATGATTTTAGAGTCCTCCAGATTGTTTCTTTTTTTCTAATTTGCTTAGCAGATTTGCTAACCTCAGAGCTGCTGAGGTCTAAATACTTATTTCATATTTCAAGATGCAAACGTCTGATACTTCTCAGTAGTCTTAGAACTTACTTCTGATAAAGTAAAATAAAATGGCATTAGGGAAGTGAGTAAGCAAGTACAGCTTTTTCACTGTAAGCCTAATTAAAGACTTGTGATGTCCTGTGAAAAATAACTGTCTAATAATACACACGAAGTTTAACCTCATAGAACTTATACAAAAGTAAGAAGTTGATTTTCTTATTCATTAACCAATATTTACTGGACGGATTACAAAGTTGCTAAAAGTCAATAATAATAATAATAATAATAA